GTAGAAGTATAAGTAGAAGTAGTAGTAGCAGTAGTAGTAGTAGTAGTATTAGTAGTAGTAGTAGTAGTCGTAGTAGTAGTAGTAGTAGTAGCAATAGCAGCTGCAGTAGTAGTAGCAGCTAAACAACAAAAAACAAATATTTTAAACAAATCCCACGAAGAATCCTGACTAGCTGAAACCTAAAATAGGGGCCTGAATAATGAGACGAGGGCCTTGCACCATACCCTGACACCTACACCCAAATCCCGGCCTTTTCAGATAATGATATGAAGCTCGGGCTAGCATGCAACTTGAGACAAAAGGTCTAAACACCCAAACCCTTGAGCCTTGAGGTGTGGAAGGGGGCTTGTCGAACTTGCTGGTTGGCATTTCCGAACCCCCCCATGGGGACTCTTCTGTGCGGGATTCAGGGTTCAGGGTTTAGGGGTTAGGCTAGCACCTAAACCCTCAACCCCTTCAGAAAATCTTGGAGCTGTCTGTGGGGAGGTCTGCATCGGCAGTGTGGGAAGAGATGATCTCCAGTCCAAATGCAAGGGCTTCATAGCGGTTTAGGGTTTAGGGCAAGAATAGGCCCCTTATGCTTGCTCCTAGGAGCTCGTTGCATTATCTCAAGCTTTAGGGGTGCAGAGGGTTAAGGGTCTTCAGAACGTTCCTGATGTTAAGCGATGGTTAGAGCCGAAGGTCACATAGAAGCCGAAGTAATTATCAGCATGATTCCTTCGGGTTCCTTATTGTAGATATGGTAGAATACACCCTAAAACCCAATTCTAATTCGTAAGGTCCCTATATCTATCTTAGTTCGCAATCGGACAGGGCCTCCTTCACATTGAAGGGCACTTTCCACAGCTCCTGCCCAGTAGCTCAGAACCAAAGGCGCATCAAAGAGAGACCCAAGGATACCTCAATGTAGTGTAGGGGCCTTAATAATTAGAATAGGGTTTAGGGTTTAGGGTATAGGGTTTAGGGGTTTAGGGGTTAGGGTTTAGGGGCCTTCATGATTAGAATAGGGTTTTGCGGCATATTATACTATAATTACAACAAGGAGCCCCCTAACAACTGGTATAGGTCAGTCTTAAGGCCCCTACACTAGCTTTCTTCCTCAATGAGATGATACAGCTCGGTTGACGCCTAAAACCCTAAACCCTAAACCCTAGACCCTAGACCCTAAGCCCTAAACCCTAAACCCTAAACCCTAAACCAAAACCCTAAACCCTAAACCCTAGAGTCTAGAGGCCTTGCCGTTCTACAGAAACGAAAGCTTGAAGAACCTCAAACTCAGGGCTCGAAGGTTCAGAGTTTCGGGTTCAGGGTTAGAGTTTAGGGTTTAGAGTTTAGGGTTTAGGGTTTAGGGTTTAGGGTTTAGGGTTTAGGGTTTAGGGATCAGGGTTTAGGGTTTAGGGTTGTGGAAGACGTGCGGAGTTTTCGGCCTACATATGCCTCTACAGAGCTAGGGGCGCAATTTTTTTAGAGTCCAGGGTTTGGGGTCTAGAGTGTTGGTAAAGAAGGCAGTTACGCAAAGGCAGGCGCCCTGCAAAGAATGGGTGGTGCGAAAGAGCAAGCATGATGCACACCCAATGTGAAGGGACCCTTGGCGACAAGGCTTTACAAAAAACTATACAACATAAGATAAGTATAAAGGAGTTTATAACATATGAATAATGCAATGTTACTCATATAGATAACAACAAAGAAGGAACTTCAGCATATAGAGGCAGAGTTCGCTCAGAAGCCCTACATCCCATATGATCGCATCGAGATATGCCCAGAGTCTTATTCCAAAAATATGGGCATCGAACAACACGACAACTTCTCAATGGTTCTGCGCCACAGGTCCCAACAGCAACTGCCGAAAGTGCCCCCCAATTCAGGATTCGAGACTCATCTCTGAGTTTCTTGAGCTTCTTGATGCTCTTCCCTTTTGTCTGTATAGGGTTTAGGGTTTAGGGTTTAGGGCTTTTGGGCTTTGAGTCCTAGGACCCTCCTAAACCCTAAACCCCTAAATCCAATACCGTATCCATCTCCGCCCTGTCTCGATTCCGGCCTTGAACTCCGTCTCCAGATCAGCCAATGGAAGGGCCTCGGGATTCGGAAAAGAGCGGTACTGGTTGTCCTGTGGCTAATTCTATCCTTGAGGACCAAATGACCCTATGAATCCCTATATGATGTATGAACCTTAAACCCTTTTAGGGTTCATTTCGTACTGCCAAGAAGGCCAAGACGAAGAGGACAACGACGCGGCCACCGACTAGCGCCACCACCAGCAGAAACATTGTCGCTATTTCCCTTACGAACTAGCAGCACCAGTGTTACCGTTGCCGACTCTTACGGCCAGGGCGCGGCAGCAGCAGAGGCAGGGTGCTGGTGGCAGGCTGATGCAGGCTGATGCATACTGGTGCATGGGTGCAGGTGGTGCTGGTCAATGCTGGTGGGTGCTGGTTGTACTGGAGTGCATCGGGGCAGGGTGGGGTTGGGGTCAGTGAGACAAAGGATTGTTCCTCGACTTCCTGAGTCCCCACGCGCCCCCCACAATCAATCGCCATCACCTACCACGACCTACCCATGGACTGTAGGGTTACTTGAAGAAGAGCTACCTGGCTTTGCCTTTAACTTTAGGAGTTCTCCGGCGCCCTTCATGCTCACTTCTGGTCTCAGTTCTGTAATGGTCAAACATGAGAGACAAGCTACAGAACGACACCAGCAATGAGAATAACACGATACAAATCAAGCTCTCTCATCACCGGACCCAACCTCCTAGACCCCCCAACTACCCTCTAATATACCCCAAATGCCTACTATTAGGGACCATAAGGGCTCCATCTTTGGGGGGTCCTGGCTTACATGCCTCACTCAACAAACCTGAACCTGCCAATTCGAAGTGAAAGCTCAAGCTCACGAGCAAGCGTCAGGCTTCGAAAGCCCTTTGAGTGGGCGACCCCCTGGTTATTCTTGGCGCGATTCTGCAGCACTCTCACCACGCCCTGGGATCGAAACTCCGGGTGTTCAGAGCAAAGAGCTGTCAAAGGGACGGCTTGCTTTAGGATCAAGGGTTTGGGGTACTGGGTTTGGGGGTTTGATACTTTTCGGGCTTAATCTTCAGCGTCACCGCTTGGAGAGCTTCTAGATTTCGAGCCCTTGGTGGCCTAAAGGGTTTTGTTTTCAGCATACCCTATGCCCTAAACCCTAAACCCTAAACCCTAAACCCCAAACCCCAAACCCTAAACCCTAAACCCAGAACGTCTGAACTTGCTGGATGTTGCAGGAAGGCC